TGGTCCAGCTGGCCTGGGGGGCCCCGCCGGTCCTGCCACCCCGCGTGGGTCCCCCTGTGCGGTGCCGCAGGAAGCCAACAGGAACCAAGCCGCTTTTCCCAGCTCGGTCTTTATAGCGCGTGCGAGCGGCCCGCCCCTAACCACCAGCGCCAGCGCCGGGCTCTGGCGAGTGACCTGGTCACGCAGCGCTGTGTGCATGCATGCTCGCTCTCGCTCGCTCTCGCTCTCTCTCTGCATGAGAACTTGGACTCAGCAGAACGGGCGAGGTCTGTGTTTTCCTGGAAATAAACCCTCTTTCAAAAGCGCTATTTTTCTGTTCTCATTTCTGTCTGATTGTTCCTCTTTGTACAGCACTGATTACTGCTTGGCACTCAGTGTGCCTCAGGCAGCTTCCTGCTGCACTAGATGACAGCGGGCAGCACAGGGCCATGGCCACCGGGTGCCTAAACACTGCCCTTGGGACTGGGCAATGCCCCACGTCCCGGGTGTGGTAGCTGCCCCCGAGGCTCACTGGCTCGTGTCCAACCGTTGCCATGGCATCCACCAAGCCACTCTTTCTCAACTGCGATCCTCTGTCGTCCGCTTGGCCAAGTCCTTCACGCTACAGTTGTCCCCTCTGCAGCCTCCTGTCACCGTTCCTAGGTCCCGCCCGCGCCATCAGGCCCTGCAGCCCTGTCCCGAGAGGCCGGCTAGTCTGTTCCACCACGTGCCCCCAGCTTACGTCCACCTCACTGCGTAAAATATTTGGAGACAGGGCCGTGGCCGGTGTCACTGATGAATTTAAGATGGGGTGCCCCTGGAGCAGGGGGGCTCTATGTCCAGTGTCACTGGAATCTATCTTCATTGGAAGATGGCCACCGAGAGACACAGACCGCGGGAGAACTGAGCTGCGTGAAGACGCACAGCTGGACAGATGCGCCTTCAACGCAGGGACTCCAGGGGTTGGCGTCTCCCCCAGACGCTGGAAGCGTCGACGGCATTGTCACCTGGAGCCTGCAGAGGGAGCGTGACACCTCGCTCTCGGGCTTCAGGTCTCCAGGACCGGGGGCGTGGATCCCCGTGGCGTGAAGCCCCCACGGAGGCCTGCGTGATGGCCCCTGGCGATTTGGAGCAGCAGCAGCAGCTGCGTCGTGGGCTGGCTGGGTGCAGGGGGATGGATAGGGTCAGGGGTGACCGTGAGTGCCCATGGCCGTCGCTGAGCCCCGTCCGGTCCCCTCGTCGCGCAGCATGTGGCAGGGGCTCAGAGGCGGGGTGCTCAGACAGGTGCTCGCGTCCAGGTCTGGGGCGTTCCAACCAGCTCGCGGTGTCTGAGGCGGCACAGCTCGGCTCAGGCTGCGTAGGGCACGGGCGCGAGAGGCCGAAGGCAGAGAACGGCCAGCAAAGGGCAGGGAGGGGACGGAGGTGCTAAGAGGAATCGCGGACGCGGAGGAATGAGGCTCCGTGGGCAGGAGGGCGCAGCTGTGCAGAGATAACGGGGCCCAGTGACCTCCGGAACTTCCGGGTTACGACACGTCCGCCCGCTCCTCCCTGCGGACCTGTGATAACGGAGGTGGCGCCCGAGCCAGGCCCCCGGGGCAGGTGGCCCTGCGGCCACAGCTGCTCCCCAGCACCAGCAAAGGAGCAGGGCCGCTGCCCCCCCTTCCTCCTTCCTCGCCCCTTCTTTCTGTTCCTTTCTTCTCTGTCTCTGTCTCTCTGTCTGTCTGTCTGTCTCTCTCTCTCTCTCTTCTTAGCCCCAAACCTCTGAGAAGTGGCTGGAGATGTTTTCAGAAGGGACAAGGCCGCGGCTGCTCCCGGCGTAAACATCTGCAGCCCGTCAGCACGGGGAGAGGGGACCGTCCTTCGTGAAACGTTTGGTGATGTCTGCAGGACACCTGCATGGGGGGCCTTGAAACAGCACGTGGGAAAGCGACGGAATAACAGGGTTGAGGACAGCGTCTCACCGGTCCCCTGGGTGTAGTAGGGTCTCCTGACTCAGGTCAGAGGCTGCACAGTCGCTGTGCGCCCTGACCTCTGCGTGAGACCCTGCGCTGTCACCGGGGCTGGAAGGTGACCACGGTCCCCGTTACCAGGCCGGGCGCACATGTCGGCCTTCCAGCTCAGACTGCGGACAGGGAGGGGCGAGGCGCGCAGGCGTCAGCCCCTGCGGTGGGGGTCGGCTATAGGACACCGCCCGCGAATTCACGGAGACGCGCCCCAGCGCCGGCGGCACAGACCCAAGAGCGGGGTGCAGGCTCCCCGATCCTTGCCCGCGCACAGCCCGGCTTGGCCCGCTGGGACCCCGAGGAAGCTTGAGTTTAATCTCTGGGACGTGTGCGCGCAGGGGACCCCGGCAAGGCCGGGCGTGGTGGCGCCTGCGGAAATGGGCAGTTGAGTCTCATCTGGTGTAAATAGACAGACAACGGGGAACAGGAAGGGGGAGCGGGCGAGGCGAGGGCCGGATCGCCCCAGCAGGGGTCCCGTGGACAGAGCAGGGTGCGCCCGCGCACGCAGCACCGGACACGCATGCGCGCTCGGGCACACGGCCTGCTCCTCCAGGGGAGCAGCCTTCCCCCCAAACCTTGGTGCGCAGGCCCCTCCGACGCAGAATGACAGGCAGTCCCCGGCCTCGCGGCCTCACCTGGGACGGCTCTCGAATGCTCCACGCAACCGACCGTCTCCGAGGGGCGCAAGGTCGCTGCCAGGAGGGACCCTGGGAAGCGAGCCCCTAAAACAGCCACCCAGCGGGGCCCCCACAGCCAGGACCCAGTCCACAGCCAACAGCTGCTCAGCGGCGGGCACGGGAACGAGCCCTTCGTCTCCTGAGACGCGCTCGGCCCTCTGAAGCCGCCCAGGCCTCGCTCCTGCCCCCGGCTTTTCCGTCGCGCGTTACAAATTGTGCGCGGGGAACAGCGAGCGTCCGGAGCTGAGGACTGGCGGCGGGAGCCCGGGTCACAGCCAGCTGCCCGCGGGAAGAGAACGGATGCAGCGTGCAGTGTTCCCAGCACCTGCTGTGCGTGCGGCAGCGTGTCGCACACGTTGTATCGATGGGGCACTAACATCTCCTTCCAGAGCGCGCGCGGGCAGGGTCGCGTCCGTTAATGAACACGAATGCACGGCCACACCTGTTCCGTTAGCACTTTTAATGTGTTGTATTTATATAAGAGAAAAAGGTTTGTCTTCCCGCCTGGTGGTGCAGGTTCAGGGGACCTCGGAGGGGGTCACCCAGCCTGTCGGCGCTTCCGCGGGGCCTGCGTGCTGGACACCTTGGCGACCGGCGGGCCCGTCCGCAGAGCAGACGCGGAGCTCGCCGGGGCCGCGCGCACAGACCCCCAGGCAGTCGGCTTCCTGGTCCCATCGCCTGGTCTTCAGGGCCTGTCTCCCTCCGCTGCTGCTCACTTGGACACAGAGCCCCAGAGACCTGTCCACTCCCCCAGACTCGCCGCGAACGGCCTTCCTGTTCTAGGTGTGTGTGTGTGTGCGCGCGCGTGCGCGTGTGTGTGCATGAGTGTGTCTATGCGTCGTACCGCACACACTCACCCCTTTGCCTGTCTTCACTTAGCATCTGGTCGTTCGCGCTTCCCCGCATCAGAACTCACGCCTGACTCTTGATTTCCACCCCCAAAATGTAAGTAGCTTATTTTCACTGTAAAAATGCTGGGTTTCTGGAGTCAAAAATACAAACATAAAAATGAAAAAAGTTTCCTTAAGTTTGAAGAAAACCATCTCTCACATCCTGGTATCAAATTTCTGTGTGTATGCACATGCCCGCACATGCATGCACACACATGCACGGGTCCCACATACACGTACACCCCAGCACATATGCACACACATGCACACACATGCACATACATGCACACACTCACATGCATAGCCACATGCACGTCCCCTGCAGACATGCACACACACACATGCGTGTACATGCCAGCACACATGCACACACCCACAATGCAATGTCTCGGCATGCATGCATGAACATGCACACGTGCACAGGCACAGAATGTGCACATGTGCACACACATGCACAGGCCCCACATGTATGCACACACATGTGCATACACACAGTCACATGCATAGACACATGGATACACCTGTGTGCACATGTCCTCGCATGCATGCACGCACATACGCAGACACATGCGCAACCAGCAGCAAGCTGTCGAAGCACATCTGTGAGCAAAGTGTTCAGGTGACCTGTATCAGTTTTACTGTGATAAGCGTTGTCACTGAGCCCAGGCGCACGTGCGCCTTTACTGCCTGCTGCATCGTGCTGGAGGGGTGAAGCCTCAGGAGGAAGTGAGGGGG